TGTTCATGAAATTTTCGTAAACTCTTTCTTAAACCCTTTAGAAATGGTATATGAAAAGGTTTATAATATCCACAAATGCATAAAGAATTTGCTATACGTTGTACTTTCATAAATCCTTCGTAATGGTACATGCACCTCCTAACCACTTTCAAATAATCTTAAAACAAATTATCAAATGGATATCTGAGAGTGTTCATGAGCATTATGATTCGCATCAAATGTTTATGTAAGGGTATATAAAGTCCTATACAGAAGCATTTGATGCGATCACTAACCTAAAGGAGACTTTTGAGACGGTAAACGGAAGCCTTTATTTATGAACTACACAAAATTTACGAGATAGTTATTGAAATGATCCTTAAATTGCCAAAACGGTTGGAAATCTCAGAGCACTTAATCATTGCTCGAATTTAGTAACACATAAGACTGCTTGTAAAAACAGAACGAAACTAAATTGTTTCATTCTACTTGCCTCACAGCATGTTGCAAAAAAATACAAAAACAGCTGAATGATGTGTAGAAAAGAAACAAGAGTAAATTAGCTTCTTTTCTTTCGGATATAAAGATGATGGGAAACTCATAATAACTGAACATAGAAAAATAATAGCTATCTGGATTATATATTATCATAATTTCGTTCATAAAAGGCTGATTAACTATCTAGAAGATGAATGACGGAAATAGAATAAATATGAACGAACATATTTCATTTTGCTTATCAGATACTCATCAACTATGAGCAGAACTGAACTGCATTATTTGATTTCTTTTATAAGGTCATGAGCAACTATCACTATAAACGGAAGAAAAATTGAACCATACTAACTTAATCTATTTTTCTAATCAGATGCTGGACAGTTATTGCAATAACTAAATGACAACAAGAAAGGTAAAGTTATTTTTCTGATTATATATCTTTCCTAAAGTGAGCGACTACGATCGGAAAAATTGAATGGACGAAGAGAAAAATAGATCAAACTAATTTTCTCAATTTCAAAATTAAATTAAATTATTAGTTGTTGCATAAAATGCGCGACAATTCTCAAGATAACTATATGAAGAAAAAGATAAGTTAACTAAAGTAACTTATCCGATTTCTCGCATAATATTATTAAAGACTGCTAGTATACTTAAATGAAGAAGGAAAAAATGCAATGAAATCATTTTATTCTGTTTCTGTGATGAGATGTTTGAGAATCATGGATAGTTCATGAATCATGTGATGTATAAGGGAATGGAGGGGGTTACTGGAACTTCGCCAATAAGATTTTCGTCAAAAGGACATTCACCAATGGCGAAAGTCCGGAGGTATATTGACGAACGTCCACTGTACTTTCGCCAACTGTCATGAAACAATATTAACATAGAATATATGTGAGTCTATTTCACAATACCATTGGCGAAATTCTAGGAGAGATGTTGGCGGAAGTACAGTGAACTTTCGCCAATTGGCGATATTCTAGGGGTCTTTTGGCGAAAGTGCTATTTGGCGAAAGTCTTATTGCCGAAGTTCTGGAATTCTAATGGAGGAATCTCTGATATATAGTGTTTGATCACTGAGGAAAACGAAGAGGATAAAACTTGGAGTAGCATATTTACTTGTAAAAGCTGTTAGCACAATCCCTGTCGGATTAAAATGTGAACCATCATGAAGCTGCGTGTTTTGTAAATCAGTGAATTAATCACTGTTTGACGATTTTAGATAAAAGAGTAGCTAGTGTTGATGGAGTTACACTTTATTTGACTTCTTTTTATCACCACTCGTATCGTTCACATCAAAATGACACGTTTATTTGCGCAAAGATGAGAGATAATAAAAAAGAGAGAGAACAAAAGGAGAGTGAGATAGTTGACGACACATAGTAACAATAGAAAGAAAAATAATGGGTATGTGTGTGGGTGAAGAGATAAGCTACACTCGCACTCACAGCCACACACATCCAACACCTCACGCCGACGGAGTCTTTTTTGTAGGAACTACATAACATTTACGGAACAGTTATCGAACTGATCATTAAATTCCAGAAAACAAACGATTGAAAATCCCATCACACTCAATCATTGCTGGAACGTAGTAACACATAAAACTTCTTGCAAACACAGAACAAAACTGAACGGTTTCATTCTATTCGCTTCACAACATATTGCAAAAAATATAAAAACAGCTGAATGACAAGAAGAAAAGAAAAAAGTAAATTATCGTCTTTTCTTTCGGACATAAAGATGGTGGAAAACTCATGTTAACGGAACACAAAGAAATAAAATTTATCTGAATTATATATTATCATAATTTCGTTCATAGAAAGCTGATTAATTATCTAGAAAATGAATGACGGAAATAGAATAAATGTGAATGAACTTATTTCATTTTGTTCATCAGATACTCATTCACTATAAGCAGAACTAAATACAGAATAAAGAATTAAACTTAACTGCCTTATTTGATTTCTTTCATAAGGTCGTGAACAACTATCACTACAAAAGGAAGAAAAATTGAACCATACTAACTTACTCTATTTTTCTAATCAGGTGCTGGACAGTTACTGAAGTAACTAAATGAAAACAAGAAAGATAAAGTTATTTCTCTAATTATATTTCTCTCGTAAAGTGAGCGACTACGATCGGGAAAACTAAATAAAGAAAGAGAAAACGAAGGTAACCTGCTCGGTCTTGACTGTAGAATGATCGGTATTAATCGGATTAAATAGTTGGAGATAAAAAAACAAAATTATGGGTGGGTGTGGGTATTGTTTAAGAGATGACCCACACCCACGCCCACCATAGGAGTGTAGGTGTGGGGTTTGAGCGTCTTCGTTTTAGCCACACCACACACCTTCAAGACTCGAACGAAAGTGAGGCTGATGCACATTGAGGCTCACTTATCGTGACTCTGGGTTCTTCTTAGTCTCTGTACCAGGCGGCGCTAGCAATAGGCCGGAGCACACAATTGTAGGTACAATTACAATTTTCTATTTAAATTTGAATATTAGAGACATCGTCTGTAGTATTATTGCAGAAGAGATTGCCGAGCTTGGAACATAGTACGCCGTTTGTAGAAGGCAGAAAGAGGTTTCCGTTCATCTATTCGCCAATGGCATAAGCTGTAAAAAAAATCCAGCAGATCATTGTGCTATTGTTCTTTTGTTGTAACGATGCAAACATAGGTCATACCAATAGTTACATATTCGCACGAATATCGCATCTAAAAAGATCGTGCCTCTTACGTCTCAGCATGGTTGTGATCACACAATTCGAAACAATGTCCAACGAATTATTGACGGAAATAGCCGAATATCTTGATTGTTTCTCTCTATTCTATGCGTTTTGGTTCTTGAATATTCGTTTGAATATTCTACTCTTATACTGTTCAGTTCATGTTGATTTAGATCGTATTTTACGTTCAAAATTTATACCATTTTGTTCTGAAATACTTGGACAAATCCAGCCCAAACGCATTCTCTCACTCAAATCATCGAATGAAATTCAGATAGGTGCTCTCGTTGATTATGATGACATTATTCATTGTTTCACTTGCATTCGTTTTCTTGTTCTTGTTAACGTGAATACAGTTACATTTGAACATTTACTCGAAAAAGTTCGACTACACAATCTTATTCGTCTCATACAATACGAACGGTGTCAACGACAAATGGATCTCGACATGGATGCTGCTTATGCAAAGAAAGAAATTCTTCTAGATTTTCCTGATTTGTTCAATATTCGATATTTAAAAATGCCGACATGTTCACCAGCGGTTCTCCCGATGTTGGCTCATGTCGGACAAACATCGCGTTGTTTTGAACACCTTTCGATTAATATATTCATGCACTGTCTACGCTATAAAGTCGAAGTACCTCACTATGCGGGTTATCTCCTTTATTCCCTTCATCGTCTTTCGATCAAACTCTATTATTTCCATATACGAATGGGATAAGGTGCTCATGTTCCTCATTCAATGTACACCAAATATTGTTTCATTTCAATTTGACGTTAACAGTTTTGATTCAACAACAATGTTTTATCTCAATTATTGGAAAGTACTTATTGGTGCTTGCCTTCCAGTTGATTGCCGTGTAAATATCACGATCTCGGCTAGCTATCAATCTCCACATAGAATACCAATCGGCAACGTCGATGATGATTCGTTTTGGAAAGAATGACGTTTGTTGATTAGACACTATCAATTTCCATCTACATTGTGCATTTTTACTAACTAGCTTGTGTTTGAAATAAACGGATTTTGTAAATTTGGGTCAGACCAAGAAGAAGATTAGAAGAGTGTCATCATCTGCTTTGTACAATCTTACAACAAGAACATACCGAATTTTTTCCGAGTTTATCAAAAGTGAATGTCGCTTCGCACCATGCTAAGGCTCATCGACCTAGAAGCTCTGTGAAACGGCCTACTACTGCCTTAACTTTTGGCGCTGTAAAATGAAGTTGTCGAAATCGCAAGATCGGATCAACCTGACAATTCTTTGTACGAATAATACGTCTTTAAATGAATATCGGTTGGTACTGTTCTATTTCTCTTCGATTAAAAAGAAAAATTTCGAATTTGCACCATTTTAAAACAGCTTTCAAATTATTTTTATTCAATTCTGAGAAATACCCCCACCCGTCCTCATCCAAATTCTAGAAAAAGTTTCAACTCGATCCATTTCAGATTTTTGTGATTTCTAAGAAAGTATATCTGCAACGACTATATCCCCGTCTCCTATATAGAAGCAACTTTTGATCTATCTGTTGAAATCTTTTGGCTTGCATCAGGGTATGTGTGAATACGGAAACTCATACCCACACCCACTTTAAGATAAGCCTGATTGGTCCTACCTTCCTTGATGACACCTAAGATCGCTTTCAGTTGCATCCCACCTTGTTACAACGGTAGAAATGTTTTACTAACTCAATCATCTTTTGCCAATTATTGAAAACTTTTCTCACAATCACATTGTTCCTTAGAATTCATGATCAAAAGCTGAAAATCCTTCTCAATTTTCTTATAAAGTCTTCACTAAATAATTAACAATACATACTGACCTCTTAAAATCATGAGCTATCCGAATATTATAATTTAATTTAATATCCGTTTCTTTTAAATCTTTTTCAAATTGATCATCATGAATTTCAGGACATTTGATCAGTTTACTTTTCAATAAACGACAAAGAATTTGTAGGAGTAAATCAATTTTGATTTGTGTTTTATCTTGCATTTGTTTAACTGTTCGATTTGGAAGTTTATTGAATAAAAGTAAAACTTCCATTTGAAATGTTGAGACTTTTGTTATTTAAGAAAAAAATCATTTTCAGGACTAAACTAATACATACATTTAAAAAGCATTTTTGTTGAATATACGATGCCCGCAATTCTCCTGTTGAATATTGATGGAATAGTGTTAACTTGCGACCATTATGTAGCTAGTTACAAAATTGAGTAAAACTTTCAAATGTTTTCTGAAGCTGAAAAAAAATTTCATAAACAGCAATGAAAATAAATAAACCCTACTTCACTAGATAAAACAAAATTTTGAGGCGCAGGAAATGATCAAGAGTGTGAATTGAGAACCACTACAGAAAAATCAACTGAAAGTTAAAAAAAACAATTATATTAGATGTAAATTTAGAAACAAAAAAATTGTAATTTCTACTATTTTTATCAATATCATCAAGTCTACCCGTTTCACAATATGTTAGATATTGATTCATTAAAATCATGAAACATTCGCTGTAATTTTGATGTATAATTAAAACCACAGGCTTCCTGGAATCAATAATAAATATAGATTTGTTACAAAATCAACAATATATTTTATATTTACTTTTAATTTTGAAACCATTGATTCTTCATTATCATTAGATGCACTTAATCGACCTACGAAACGTTTGGCTAACATGTTGCGATAGAATTTTTCAAATACATCTTTATCTTCAATATAATTAAAAATGATCTGAAATATAAACACTCAGATTAACGATAATTAAACTAATAGCAAAAGCTGCTAGCGCAATCCCTTGAGGGATTAAAAATGTGGAACACGATGAATCTGTTGTTACTAATTAAATGGAAATCGTTTTGTTCCATTTCTTTGCAATACATTTGTAGCTAACCGTTTATCTGATGTTTTAGAACTATAGTTTCTCTGTCACGGTCTGTGACGGTTAATTAGTTAATTAAAGACTAAGTAATTAATTAATTAAGATGTCTGTTACGGTCTGTGGTGGGTCACGTGAGTGTCTGTCACGGTCTGTGGGGGAGGGGGGGGGGGTCCAAATTTCTACCCTTAAACACTTCAACACTCCTTTCAGATCGTGTTTCACAAAATAATACCATAATATGATTGAATTTCTCTTCGAGATTTGTTTCTTCTATAGCTCTGCTTCTAAAAATTGAGCTTGATTATATTTCAATAATAATTATCAAATTTCGACAAGCCTTTTTCGTAAAAGCACATCATAATAGCAAACTAATAATTCAGGTGATTTTTTTGTATTATCAGCTGCCATTGTTACTGCATTATTATTAATACATTTTTACGACAAGTCTAAAACATACACAAGATAATAATAAACAAGAAATAAAACAAAGAAGAAAAAAAACATTCAGTTTATTTTATCAAGAGCAGCAATAAACTCTTGTTTGCTACTAACAGCTTTTTGCACAAGTTTCAAAATTTTTTTTATGAATATCAAGTATTATTTCAACGTAACTTATTGGATCCTTAACAAAAAATAAATATAACAATAATATAGAACGCAAAAGCAAAAATAATTTTACATTAAGTCCACTACGAGTAAATTGTTCAATAGCATCTAGACCCATTTGACAGATTTCATCTTCAACAATTTTTTTTCAATTCATCAATTACATTTGGTATTCGACTGACTTAATTGAATAAAAGTGAAAAATCTATAATAAAATAAATCCAAGGGGGAACAAATTGATTTCGTGATTTCAAATGATTTCGGGTAATTTCTAGTAGCAACCAAAACAATCATCTTTCGTTATATCATTGAAAGACACTTTGCTTATCTATCGATATTAGTGTAATTAGACTAATATTATAAGAGTATACGAATTTCACTGAAGAAAATCGTGATAAAGCAATCCAGGTCGACGACCTACGGCTCTCAGATACCCCAGCTGTTCGTGGAAGACGAAGACGACCCATTTTCCGGTCAATTTCGTCTGATACCCGTGTAATTGCTATGGAAAAAAATGGCGGAAGATGGAAGCCGTATTCCAGTCGTAAAATAAACGTGCCAGAACCAGTCATTTCCAAACACTTTTTGTGACTGAAAAAATCGTGTAACTAAACCGGACTCGGGCACTAACACCGATGAGCACTTAGTTGTATCCATGCGGCATCACATCGGAATTAGATTTTATTTCTACAGAAACATATCAGGAATAAGGCATATCTGGGCAAAGCCTTTAAAGGTCTTTTTCCATTGAAATATGTACTTTAGTCTCAGAAACATCTTGAAAATTAGGCAATCACTGAAAAAGGTCTGTTGCGATGTTTCTCAATCAAGTATCTGAATTGCATGGTGTTTTTCAGAGTCACATAGCCATATGAATAGAAAATTATCTTTAAAGATCTTTCCCTATAGGAGTAATGATTGGAGTATAAGTAGCAGGTTGTAAATCAGGTATGCGAAAAAGCTTTATTTTGTTGCTTTTCTCGATTTTTCATAGACTTTCATAGACAGATATCGTTTTATATGGAGTTATAGATTGAGAGCCTACTTAGAAACATATTTCGGTTACGCATTATCTTCTGTGGGGAATGTGGATGCACAGATACGGAGTGTGGCTGCTTCAGTGTGACTATCTTGCAGTACTTGTAGGCTGACATTGATGCATTGTCTTAATCCAAAGTCAGACCCACCCGCGTCCTCACTCCACACCATCTATACAAATATCATTAATTTTTTGTAGGATAATTTTCGGAGGACGAGGAGGGACAGAGAATGGCTACTTTGATTTGCTATTCGATGTCATTTAATCTATCTTCAATTCGTGTTCATGTTACTGCTACCTGCCCTACGACTGGAATGAAACTGATTGTGCCGTACGGCCATACATATAGCACCATGATCGTTCCAGCAGTGTTCAAGGACTGAGAAATAGGAATTCCTAATCTGTCGAGGAATTGTCAGTGCCGCTGTGATAATTTCTAGAGGAAATGGGAATCGACCATTAGTTCCCTCACAGTTCCACCATTCATGAAAGTCGCGATCACTTTCCTTTTTTACTTCGCGAAGAACAGACGCATTGTTTTGTACTTGTACTCCTCCTTCTGTGCCTTATCTCTTTCGTCGGAGTGACTCATTATCACACGATGGAAGCGCAATATTACAACTGTCCAAGTGGTGGACAGAGAAACTCAAGAAATAATGGTTCTAGTAGTAAAAAAATCAATAATCGTCGACAAGAAACACAAGATACTGGAAATTATGATCCACGGATCAATGAAACTGGTGAATTACAAAGAAAAGATATAATAAATTCCTTTGCAAATGATGAAACACTTTTAAATGATTTTTTACTCTTTCGCCAACAGCAACATCAATAGTCACTTGCACCCAAAATTCCCGGTGAATTCGGTATCTACGAGGAGCAAAATGTGGTGTTCAATGAACAGCAACGACAAATGTATTTAAACAATCATAATCATAAAAATATTCCAACTAGAGAGCAATTGCAATTACGACCAAGTGCATCGACACCGAACAAAAGAAGATTAAATGATAGTGCTGGTTCAGATGGTCCTCCAACACCAAAACAACAACGTTCAGGTAACAACCAGGCTCAACTACTTCAGGAAGAGAGTCTTGCTTAAAGTAAACAACCATCGGCTAATATACCAGCGAATCATACGTATCAGAATAAAATTCCTTTTGATCAGATTAAACGAGCGGTCTCGAGTAATTTGCCATGCTTCTATGTAGTTTTCAATCGTTCAACTAACACTCAGCAAATACCATCGGC